CAGCAATGTCACCTGAGTAATGAAGATGATGGGTGTCATTATTTTGGTTATGATGATCTTGTCCCTTCAACGCATACTCATTGTCGATGGCGATAACTCGTCTTACACTTACAAAGCCACTGAAGATATAATACTTGAATGTGGCTCCTCCGCCTTCGTTCAACTTGGTAATCGGATAACGAGTCCTGATATCAACTCTTCTCAGTTTTCTCTCATCGAAAATCCTCCTACGTCCTCAATCTAGGCCAACACATCTTCACATGACATACTTTCTTCATTTTACTGTGTCCTTTACCCCAATGCACGCCTTTCTCGCTCTCAATTCACGTACTCGTTTTCGACCACCGGAGGCCCTAGGTTTCTTCGTCTCCACTCCTACCCTTCTTCCTATAAAGCTTTGGTCGCTATTCCTCACTCTTCTCTGTGAAATCAGGTCACTTCACCCTTCTCAAGAACTTCATTCACTCACTGTAGACAACGATCATGATTCTAGAATGATCGTGTTCCAAGAATTCAGTATCAACGTTCAACCTGGAGTGCAGAGGTTGAATGTTACCTACATACCCAACACCACCACGAGTTACGACGCCTACGATTTTATTAACGGGATCGAGGTTGTTTCTATATGCCCACTTATCTTTATTACACTAAACCAAGCATTGCCGGGGCTTGGATTTAGTTAGGTATAACTCTTTTTACTCAATCGAAGACAGCAAGATACTAGAGACGATGTGCAGAATCAACGTTGGTGGGGTTCAAATCTTTCTTGATCAAGACACACGAATGTTTCGTAATTGGGAGTATGATGAGCAATACTTGGCACAAAATCGTCCAGATACAGATAGTCTTCCATTTTATTTCGGAAGTCAAAAACTGAAATATAGAAAAATTTCCAGCTACACTGCACCCGATGAAGTTTATTTGACAGGCTGTAGCTATGGTGCAAAGGAGAGATCTGTAACTTATAACTTGACTTGGGAGTTTGAAGTCGACTCACAGTTCTTATACTTGGTGAGGCTCCATTTTTTTTGAGATCACGTTAGTAATTGAAAAATCTAGTCAACGAGTTTTCAAGATCTTCATTGATGACCAATTGGCCGAGGGTCATGCCGATGTGTTCTTGTGGGCTAAAGATAATATGACTCCTTACTGCAAGGACGACGCAGTTTTGACGTTGGACTACGCAGTCCTTCCATTAAGTTGCAGCCGTATTTTAATAGGAAAATAAGTGATTACATGGATGTAATATTGAATGGATTTGAGATTTTGAAAATAAATGATCCCAATTCTAATCTCGGAGGTCCCAATCCTAAACCACGTCTAAAGCCATACTCACCACCGAACAATTCCCAAAAGCCTAGAAGCTCAAAGAGAAGGACGATGATGATTCCCATTGTTGCTGGTTCGACTTTAGGACTCATTCTGTTGAAGAAGCCCAAATCATTTGAGATATTATTGTTGTAAATATACAGATATTAAGGAACATTATAGTATCTGATAGATATAGTAGTTAGCGAGATTTACGTGCACAGCTTATGTGTATATATATACCCATGCTGAGAACTAATGAATACACAGAATTGCTACTCGTATTTGAGTTTTTTTTTTTGGCAAACCATATACCTCTTGTCAGCCATGGCCGCCACGTCAATGCCTTCGTCACGACCACTACTGTATCTCCTATTGTTGCCAATCAGGACAACGCTCCTTTCCCTGTTACAATGACTCTTGATGAATTGAATTATTCTCTATGGTATCAACTCATAGAGATGCGTATCACGGCTTATAACAGGGGTGGTTTTCTCACGTGTGCTGCAGCCAAACCAGCGTCTAATGATCCTACATTTGCTACATGGCACGCCGACAATCAGTGTATTGAATCCATGAGTCCTACCTTGATGCAACGCTTTATTCAAATTCCCACAGCATGTGAAATCTGGGACGCACTCTCACGGGCGTTCTCTGATGATTCCAATGAGACCTTGATTTTTGAACTAAACCAGAAGTCGTTTAACATAAGGTAGAATGGTCGTCCTCTCTCTGTTTATTATAATGAACTTACGCATATTTTCTAGGAAGCTTGATTTTCGCACAAGCGCCCAAGCAAAAACTGTCATAGGGGTGGTCCAAGTGGACATGGCCTTGACCCGTCTTCGTGTTCCATATTTTTCTTAGTGGTCTTGACACCGAATTTGATGCTGTTTGTGGCAAACTCTTACGTCGTGATACGAAGTTGGACCTTGAGAGCACTTGTGCTCATCTGTAGCGCGCTCATCAATAATAAACCACGACGTTCACTCCATATGTGCCAACTGAAAGTACTGCGCTACTCACAAAACCGTCCCAGCAAAAGTTGGGCTCTTCCAAGTCTCGCTCTAGTAGAACTGATCTCACTTGAACCCATTGTGGTGAGTTTGGACACTCGAAACAGTGCTATTATGAGCTTGTAGGTTACCCTGAGTGGTGGGATTTCTCGAAGAAGCCTCATCACAAGGTCAAGGCCATGCACACTACTAGTACGACCGATGTACCTATAAACTTTTCACCTAGACCTCTTTAACTCATGCATTTGTGGCATTACACAGCCATATTAGATCAAATGGTAAGTCCTCATCCCTGGCTCTTATCGCTAACAACTCCTGGATTATTGACATATGTGCCTCCGATCATATGACTAAGGATGCCATAAATCCTCGGTCACAGCAACCCCCTCGACAACCCACCATCTCCATTGCTAATGGTAGTGAGTCTCAAATTGAAGGACAAAAGCAATGCATTTTGTCCCCCAATGTTGAGCTTGATCAAGTTCTCTTCATCCCCTCTCTTGATCATAACTTGCTTTCTATTGCACAAGTTACTTCTGCTATTTTTTGCACCGTGACCTTTTGACCTCTTTTTTGTGTATTTCAAGACATTCCAATGCAGAGGATTCCTGGTTATGGTGTTAGGCAGGGTAATCTCTACTATTGGGCACCTGATGACTCCAATCTGTCCTGTAGCCTAGCATCTTGTGTTTCTGACAGTAATAAACTCAAGAACGATATGTGGTCGTGGCATTGCCGTCTTGGCCATCTCTCTTTTGGTTACCTTAAGCGACTTCGGCCTCGGTTGTTTTCTAGTTTAGCTGTCCCTCAATTTCATTGTAATGTCTACGAATATGCAAAAAACCATCGTGTCTTATTTACCCAGTTTGAACAAGGCTTCTAAGCCCTTTATGGTGATTCATTTTGATTTGTGGGGTCCTGCGAAACTATCTTCATTTTCAAATGCTTATTTTGTTACTTTTATTGATGAATGTGATCGGATGATATGGGTCTCAGTGATTAGGAATAAAAGTGATGTTTGCCATGTTTTTCAAGAATTCTATCAAATGGTGCATACTCAATACCGCCGCCGTATTGCTATTCTCTCAACAAATAATGGTGCCAAATTTGTGAATGCTTCTATGACTAGTTTCTTGCAAGCTCATGGTATACGGCATCAAATGTGCCTACACACCTCAACAGAATGGCTTTGCTGGACCAAAAAAATCATCAATTGATGGAGGTTGTTCGTGCCTTACTCTTTGGGATGAATGTGCCTTGCATTTATTGTGGGGTAGGCTGTTAAGGCGGCTGCATATCTTATTAATCGAACTTACTCTAGTGCCATGAATTTTCAAACTCCCCTCGCTGTGTTGAAATCTATGTTGGACATTCCTTTTATGCCCAACCTTGAACCTCGTATATTTGGTTGCACTATGTATGTTCATTTTCCAAAGCACTTTCATAGTAAGCTCGACCCATGTGCTGTGAAGTGTATTTTTGTGGGCTACTCTGACTTTCAGAAGGGTTATCGTTGTTATGATCCTTTCTCCCTCAAGTTCTACACTACTCTAGACGTCTCCTTTGATGAGAACAAGCCCTATTTTCCATCAACCGCATCTTCTCTTCCAGGGGAGAGTGACCAAAGAAAGAGAAGATAGTGGGTGTTGAAATCAGTCAAGATCTGCATGCCCTTGCTTGAAGACTTGCACGAGTTACTCAGCTTGAACGGTAGCCTGAGTTATAATAACATGGTTCCTGCGTACTCTCATGCTAAGTCTCATGTTGAAGAACGCGTAGATCAAGTGCAATCAAATGCTGAATTACGTACACGTGAAATGGGTGTCGACTGTAATGCACAGATAGTTGAAAGACCTTGTGTACTAGAACAACAAAATATCTCAGCCAATGAACTGCAACATGGTGAAGTTATAACAACTCTAAAAGAGGTGCCCCTATCTTCACCATTGCCTACACCATACACCAACAAATCACCCACTGAGAATGTCCCCTAGGTAACCATGAATTCTCATCTCTCATTTAATCTATTGAATCTGTGGTGCTAAGAGTTTCACAATGACCTACAAAAGGGATACCAAGAAAACAATATATATGAGCCTGATATCAAAACCAAAGGAAGTATTCCATTAGTAACTATACTCGGTCTAGCAAGTTGCATGAATCTCATGCTTTGACCAGTACGTGTGCAAAATATTGCTATTCCTAATAACATGCAGGAGGCCTTGATGAATCCTAACTGGAAAAAGGCCATGAATGAGACATGGGACTTGTGCCATTACCACAAGGAAAAAGACTCGTAGGCTGTAGATGGGTATTTGTACCAAAAGTGAATGCTGATGGCAGCTTCAACAAATATAAAGAGAGACCAGTAGCTGGGGGATATGCCTAAAAATATGGAGTAGATTATAATGAAACGTTTTCACCTGTAGCAAAGATCAATACAATTCGAATTCTCTTGTCCTTGGTAGAAAATTTTGACTGGAAACTATAGCAGCTCGATGTAAAAAAATGCATTCTTGAATGGGAAGTTGGAAAAAGAAGTATATATGGAGCTACCACCAGAGTCAAATATCATTCCTCATGCAAAGATAAAGTGTGTAAAATTAAAAAAAAAAAAAATCACTGTATGGGTTACAGTAATCACCCTGTGCATGGTTTGGAAAATTTACCAATACCATGAAAGAATACGGGTACAAGCAGAGCAATTTTGATCATACACTCTTCATAAAGAAAAGTTGGAAGAAGCAAGTAGTGCTACTAGTCCATGCGGACGACATGATCCTGACAGGAGACGATCAACAGTGGATTCAAGCCTTAAAAGAACATCTAACTACTGTTTTTGAAATGAAAGACTTAGGGCAACTCAAGTACTTTCTTGGCATCGAGGTAACTCGCTCAAATAAAGGCATCTACTTGTCACAGCAAAAATATACACTGGGTTTACTTGCTAAAACTGGAATACTAGATTGTAAACCAGTACAAACTCCACTGGAAATGAATCACAGACTTGGTATATATCCTGATCAAATACCTGCGAAGCATGACAGGTATCAAAAGTTAGTCAGAAAGTTGATTTATCTCTTACACACGAGACCAGATATTGCATATGCCGTCAGTGTCGTAAGTCAATTTATGCACACCCTAAGTGAAGATCACATGAATGCAGTACTTCGTATCCCAATGTGCTTAAAAGGCTCTCCAGGTAACGGGTTGCTATTCAGGAAATATGAAAAACTTGATGTTGAAGGATATACTATCTCGGACTGGCCTAAGGATATGAATGTAGAATGATATACAGAGTCAGACTGGGCTAGAGGTCAAACCACTTGACAGTCCACATCTGGGGCATTTTACATTTGTTGGTGGCAATCTAGTAACCTGGCGAAGTAAAAAACAGAAGGTGGTCTCACGATCAAACACCGAAGCTGAGTATAGGAGCATGGCAAATTGGGTGTGTGAACTTCTGTGGATTAAAGGAATTCTGGATGACTTGGGGATCAAGTACAAGAAACCCATGCAGCTTCACTGTGACAAGAAGTCTGCTATCGTAATTGCTCATAACCCAGTGCAACATGATCGTACTAAGCATGTAGAAGTTGACAGACACTTTATTCGGGAAAATCTTGATCAAAGCATAATCACGTTTCCATTTGTGCAGTCCCAGTTTCAGTTAGCAGACGTACTCACGAAAGCTGTATCAACCGAAGCATTCAAGAATGCCATTGGCAAGTTGGGCATGATAGACATGCATGCACCAATTTGAGGGGGAGTGGTGAAGAAGCCCAAATCATTTGAGATATTATTGTTGTAAATATACAGATATAAAGGAATATTATAGTGTCTGATAGATATAGTAGTTAGCGAGATTTACGTGCACAGCTCATGTATATATACCCATACTGAGAACTAAAGAATACACATAATTTCTACCCGTATTTTCTGGCACATTCTGATATCTATCATTCTTCTCATCATCATCAGGAAACTTAGAACCAGGGTGAAGCGTTCCACAGCCACATCGAAAACAAGCACGATAACAGAGCAGGCAAGTCATCATCAGTACCATCCGAATTGTGTCTATATTTTTCAATCGCTGATATGAAAGTAGCCACAAATAATTTTGACTTTATCTTCATAATAGGTGTTGGTGGTTTCGGTATAGTGTATAAAGGCTACATCGACAAGAATACACTGCCAGTTGCCATCAAACGGCTCAAACCGGTTTCTCAGCGAGGGTCCCGAGAGTTCCAGACGAGATTGAGATGCTCTCTCAACTCCGTCACGCTCCCTTGGTCTCCCTGTTCGATTATTGCAACGACGGTCATGAGATGATGATCCTAGTCTTTGAGTTCATGGCTCGGGGCACTCTGCGTGACCATCTTTATGATTTTGATGGTAAAGAACCACTTCCGTGGAAGCAGAGGTTGGAGATGTGCCTTGGGGCAGCGCATGGACTGCAGTACCTTCATACAAGAGCCAGTCGCGGCATCATTCACTGGGACGTGAAGAGCACGAACATCTTGGTGGATGAGAAATGGGTGGAAAAGGTTTCTGATTTTGGACCGTCCCAAAATGGGGCCTATAGGATTGTCTTGGTCTCACATAAGCACAGTGGTGAAAGGGAGTGTGGGGTATTTGGACCTAGAATACTAGAAGAGTCAATGGTTGACTCTGAAGTCCGACGTGTACTCTTTTGGAGTAGTGCTGCTTGAAGTATTGTGTGGAAGGCTGCCCATGGTACGTACGGTGGAGATGCAGAAGGCAAATTTAGTGGATTGGTTCAGAAGATGACACCATGAAAGTGTGATTGTTGAGACAGTGGCTCCGTTATTGGTAGAAAGTATAAAGCCGGAGTGCTTGAAAGTGTTCAGTGACATGGCTTTAAGTTGTTTGGCTGATAATGGGAATGAACGACCATCGATAAATGCCGTGGTGTTGGCCTTTGAGTTTGCGATGAAGCTGCAAGAGAGCACAGAGGGACCACTGAAGGTTGAGACTAGTGGGACCCAAGAAAGGACCTCGATGAAGAGTGGGGTGGAAGATGAGGAACTGATATGAGATTCACAAGTCAGTCAATAAGATTTGTTTTTTTTTTAAAACGAATCCTACTTCGTGCCAATCAAATTAGGATAAACTGTATGTTAATACAATCCTACATCCTACATGCATCGATATATATAGGGCACAAATTATGTTCTTACTTTTATATATTTAATACATTTTTATTTAATTAAATCAAGATAAATTGACTTTAATCTATTAATAATATTAATAACAAAAATTTATCATAGAATAAATAATAAAAAAATAATCCACATATCTATATTTAATTGAAAACAAACACTTCAAATATATAAGGTCATGCATACAAGTTTTTTCCATGAATATATGTATATAAAGTTCAGTCATATAATTAATTATAAGATATTATCAACATGACCATATTATTTTAAAATTATTTACAGGTATTGTTGTTAATATTGGTAATTTAATAATTACCCAATAGCTTATCAAAATGCTTGGTTAAAATGGAATTTTAATTAATGATAAAGAAATAACTTGTCTCTTGCCATATATTTATTTTCTTAAATGGTACTTTTCTGATCCCTATTATAGGAAGAAGTAGTTATCGATATTTAATATGGTACACTATGAAGTATTACTTTTATTTTTTTAATATTATCACTATTTAAACTCATTAACTAAAAAAAAATGCAATACAAATTTGAACATATTTCATTTCAATAGAGGTAAAATTAAAAATTTATATTATTTTTAAATAAAGTTAATAACTTAACTATCTCTTCTTATTTCTAATGAAAAAGTTGAATGTGCCTTTTAATAAAGATCGGATGGAGTATATATTTATAATTTTATGAGATCTTGTTGATAATTTTCTACACAACTTTTATGTAATTTTCTTGGCACTTAGGGGTCAAAATTAAATTTTATTCATGATATACAAGGGCAACATTGCACTCTTTATTTTTAAACGTTGGAGGGTAAATATTACAGTACTTGAAAAAAGTTTAAGACCCTAGAAACTCATCCACCTATACTTTAAAGATAGAATTGTCACTTAATCACTTTTTATTTTTATATATTCTGCTATTAATAAATACTCCTCTTCAAAATATAAATTCCTTCATTATAAGCATTGTTGTTCCATCTCTTTCTTTTCTTTTGGAAAGAAGTAGATCTCACTGCCTAGCAAGTGGAGACACTTGGATTATGCTGGTGCCATGGGAATATGCTGACTTGATTATGCTAGGATAACACACACACACAGAGACTTGATTATGCTAGGATAACGCGCGCGCGCGCACTCATTTTCATAAAAATATAATAACACACACACTCATTTTCATAAAAATATAATAAAAATATATATTATATTATTTTTACTTTTTACTCTTAATCCCAATTACTAATGTACTTCATGATATGAGTGAGAGATAAATTTATATAAAAATCTAGGTTAATAAATATAAGGAGTGAAAAATTTAAATGCACTAAATTGCTTATACTTTAAACCAGTATTAATTGAAGAAAATATTTATATTTTAGACTATATCTATTAACAAAACTAGCTTGTAAAATTGATTGCATGTTCCAAGAAACTGATTCATCCTGAAATAGGCATATCTAATGCTACAAGAAGACAAAGTTTGCACGTTCGCCTTGCTTAAACTATTCTGTCTTTTTAAATTTGAATATTCTAAAGAATTGAATGGTCCACGTTTCTCTCCTATAATTGCATCTCTCCATGAAATCGTCAATCATGAAAGGGAGGTGGCGTCCGATTATATATATATATATATATATATATCTGCGCGCGTGCGTGTGTGATTATAATGAGATTTGGATCCTCTACAATCTTCCATTCAATATATCTCTGCCTACACAATTACCTTTGTAGCTAATTATGAGGATTTGAGGGTTTTAGAGTAGCTTTAAAGTAGCTGTGGAGTAATGAATGTTATTGATGAATGTATTTGCAAATTATTAACTTGTAGATTGTTGACTGTAACTATGTTTGCTAGAAATCTGTTCCCCATGTGCTTTTTTGTAAGCTTGAGGAGCAACTCTATGAATGTTATCGCCATGGATGATGATTATATATATATATATATATATATATGTATGTATTCACATTTAACCAGTTAGCTATTCATAGGTTAAAAAAGTCTATTACCATAGGTAAATGATCAATCATTTACGTTATCACAAGTTATATATGTGTCTTATTATCAAGACTTATTAATAACTAGACACTTATGGGTCAAGAAAAAAATCTCTTAGCCTGCATACTAATAATGGTCATTAAAACATGATATATGTGTTTTGGTTTTAAAAATAAGAGGATGAAATGGATGTCATTTGGCTTGCCAATTATAAAGAGTTGTCGATAAAATTAATGAAAAAAAGTTTGCTAGACCACACTAGCTGTAAATCGGTAGTGTTGTCACAGATTATATATGTAATATGTCTATATAACCTGATTAGGCATTAGCTATAAGTATGACTAACAAATACAAATATAACTTATAATAGTTTATACAATATAATAACAACTTGTGATAGTACTGTTACTTGATAATTAAATACCTAGTTAACAAGCCATGTGATACATCACATTTCAATAAAAAAAAAATTAGAGATGTCAATTGCTCAGTATTATTGAAAAGACAAAAATATTCTATAACCAAAAGTTAATATAAAGTTAACGATCAACACTAATGTCCATTAGTCAATATAACATAACAACAATTTTGATACTCAAGCGTGTCATTATTCCAATAAATAGTCTAGGATATCAAGTGTTTTTTGAAAATATTCAGCAACAAAAATGTCCTCAAAGCCTATATATAATATGATTAACACGGTTGATGGAATACTACACACATGGACAAAAAGGAGAGGAGTACGTACTCTTTCTCGAGTAAGCTAGCTTCCCAAAGGTGGGTGTTTAGAGATGCTAGGTCTTCCTTGATCTCCAAAATAAATGAGTGAATAAATAATTTAAAAAAAATAACATAGACGTGTATATGTAAATAGGCAACGCTCTTTGTCTTTGGAACCACATGCTTAGATTTATATCCAATAATGTACATCCATATTCCAAGTCTTTACCTAATCTCTTCACGCGTTCTATTTTTCTTGAAAAGACTGACCAAACACGAACATAACTCGCTTGAAAAGTCAGCTGACCACCAATGTCAGATGGTCCAAGTTCTTCTCCAGAAACTGCATGCTAATGAGGTGTTTGTTGGCTCGCATGTAAACTAAAA